TGAATGCAATGAAATTTTTATCAACTAAAGTAGTGTAGTCTATGTAGTATGTAATCCGCTGGTGTTTGTTCTCGAAAGAGATGAGTATATTTTTATTTCCTCTACTCGTGCACATTTTTTTCTGTAGATATGTATTTAATAAGCTGTATACGTCCCTTGCTCAGTGGGTTTCTGTTTTGAAGTGGTGGGAAATATGGCAAAAGAACAATGTTTGCCATCATTTGTGAGTAATAATCAAGGCCTTAAATTCCTTTTATATAATTTGTGGCTTTTTTAGCTGCTTATTTTTTTTTTATTGCTGCAAAATGATCACTAGTTGCAGTACTTGTGTTTTGTTGATCTCGAATGTTCCACGTTTTGTATTAACGTCATGGTAACTAGATTCATAAAACAAAAGCAACGAATTGCAAGACTACGACTTTTTCCCCTTTTAGTTTCTCCCTGCACGGTGATGCTGTTAATTTTTTTTTTTTGTAGCTTGCAAAATGATGTTAGATATTATGGTCATTGGCAAACATGTCACTGTTCTCCAAAACCTTGTCAATTACATTTTCTAGTGTAAGTTGTTTCGTCTCATATTTCAGATCGGCGCTAAAAATGTTGCTTGCTTAAGCATTAGCTTTGTGATGATATTGAAGGCTTCTGTTGTGGAACTCAAATGGATTTGCTTGTGCTATTTTTAATTGCAACTTTCTTGTTATTATCTTTTTGCTTGGATACTGAGTAGGAACAAACTTCTGCCTGTGCAATGGCTAGTGGGGATTAACAAATTGTGCCATGCCTTTTAGTTATTTTTCAGGCACACATTTTTAGAAAAAAAAAATAAAAAAAAATCAAGTTCAATGGCGGAACAAGAGAAAAAAGAGGAGACCATAAAATCCATTGTTCCAGCCACTTTAAATCATTTACTGACAAACTTCTACATGTTTTTTACTTCAGTATTGTATGGTACACGCCATGTCTTGGTTCTTGCCGACTTCCCTCCAAGCACTAGAACAACCGACCTCGAGAAATTGCTCAATAAATTCAAAGATCTTTTTGTGATTCGCTGGGTAAATGATACAACCGCAATCGTGGTGTTTAGAACGCCAGCTGCCGGTAATTACAATTGGTTACCCGACGCTATTTTGTATTTGGTTTTCAATCGCCAGATGATATTTTATTTATTTATTTATTTATATATTTTGTGCAAGAAAAAAGCATGGAACGATTGATCTTTATCTTTTCACTCTTTAGTCTTTATAAACTCTTTTTGACTCTTGTCAATTTCATTGAACGTATTTTAGAAAATTTCGCAGTGCAGTTATAAAGACTGAACTGCCAGGATTAATAATTTATTTATGTTCCTGATATAGCTCTCGAGGCTAGAAACTCCATCGAATGCCCGTTTACGGTTCGTGCACTCGAAGAAGATGATGAACTCTTGAGTTCAATACCACCAAAAGGTAAATTGTAAGAATTATGTGGGTGACTGTGGTATATATTACCACAATAAAAACTTGATTATTTTTGTTTTTACTAATTTTGAAGCAGCTCATCCTAGTGTTAAAAATAATTTAACGGTAATACTGGAAACATGAAAGATCACATAAAGCATTCCTCCTTGTATCCAATGCATGCTACTTTATTTTTGTATCATAAACAAAACAGTAAGGCTGCCTAACACTTATGCAACCCTACTTTTTCAACAATATGCATTCTTTTAAACTTTTTAAATGAAAGTATGACATTTCATAGCATAAGTATGCATTTTTGTAAAAAAAAAAAAA